GCCCTGTCGACTCAGCTTTGCTTCTAGTATATTTGAGTAAATTGTATAAAATGTGTGTCCGAGAACGTTCAAAATTGTGCCTATAAATGCATGACAAAATAATTTCGAATTGTTAAAAAAAAAAGTTCAACTACTTAGTTAAATAAAACATAATGCTGAGTCGACTTAGGTCCGCCCGTCCGCAGTGATATATCAAATTTTCGCTTTACAAATCTTTAACTTCGGCTGGCCGAAGAAATGTCACATATGAGCTCGGAGTTGTTGTGAATATAGTGACATATTATTTTCTGATGTTAGAATGTGTTATCATGAATTTTCTTAATTTTTAATAATCGAGTTTCTATGTGTGTGAATGAATTTTCCTTCATTTCGATTTGCTTAATGTATATTATTTTCTCGTACTATTCTCTTCTGATTTATTCTTGATTCAAAAATTATTCTAAAATTATTCCATAATTTCCTTTAGTTTTTATTTCAAACAGATAAGAGCCAAGTTTTTAGTTCTGTGCGTGTATTTCTAGCTGTTATTTTTACTACCTATACCAAAATTGTTCTTCTTCTTAATTTTTGGTTGACGCCGATTACAGTGAATTCTCAATAAATGGCATACTACACTGACCTTAGCACTGTTCTTTCTTTGGCTCATTGTTTTTGCCCTTAATTCTTTAACCAGACAATTTTTCATTTAATTTTCCTATTATTGTCATTATCGGATCGTATTGTCTTGTATTGAACTAATCATGCTCGACTACTCCAATTTTGCAGTTCCCCTACATCTTCTAAAGCGCCTAATTTACCACCCTCTCTCTTTCTATTTAATCCTCCATACTAATTATGACTGATTCGTCAACAATCTACATCTAATTACATAAGCCAATGAGCATTGATAGAAAAAAATATAACTTTATTTTAATTAGAATTTCACAATTAGTGCCAGATGCGATTTGACGGTTTAAGATTCTCAGTAAAACTCAACTTCTAAATGGGCTCAAGATCATGAGCTCCCTCTCTCTTTAAACAATGCTCTCATTCTATTGATGAGTTTCTAGAATATTGTAAGAGCCTGAATTTGAGCCGCGTAGGCAATTTTGTGGGAATAATGATTGATGAATAATGAAAGTTAACAATTAAGAACTAATACTAAACGAAATAAGAAAACTTATTTGGCAATTGTTTTTGGATCGTAAACAATTGTAGTTAACATAACGTGTTTTTCTTACCCAACATTTTCTATTATAATAGTTCCCTGATGAGAAGACGTCATACTTTCTTGATGGTTCTTTATTTTATGATTCTTGGAGTTAGAGCTGTCCACCGTGAAGCAGTGAGCAGCCGTTTTACTATAATAGTTCCCTGATTAGAAGACGTCAGACTTTCTTGATGGTTCTTTATTTTATGATTCTTGGAGTTAGAGCTGTCCACCGTGAAGCAGTGAGCAGCCGTTTTACATACATGGTTTTTAGGCTTATTAGAGAACGTGAGAAAAATATTTTCTCATTGAAAAATTATTATTTTGATCGAAACGAAAAATAGTGTACAGACGTGTTATTATGTACTATAGTGTAATAGTATGATTTTCTTTATTGATTTAACTTATTTTTTTGGGTTGCCTCTTTTTCAACAACACGTCTTCTTACTCTTAGTACTGTAGAGAGACTGCCTTCCACTTCCTCTCCGCAGCCGCTTTTCTTTATCGATAATACATTTGCTGCATTATCGATATATACTTATCGTACTGTTATAATTAACATAGATAGTGACACTATAATACCCTGGCTGGGGTTACCAATGATGCTCTTATCCTATTACAATAGTACATTCAGTTCATCAAATATTTAACTTATTACGATGCCACAATATGCTCTTTTTTTTGTTTAAAAGAAAAGCTTTCTTTTTTATTGGGTTTTTAATTTGCCATGCCTTTCGATATTGATGAAAGTATGAATTATATTAGCGATACAGTTACGATAGATGCCAGATGGGCGATTGAACAAAAGATGTATATATTTTCAACAAAAACCATTCAAATCGTCTCTTGATTGAACCAGCTCTGTAAACAACTCGGCAAAGGGATACCACTCTTTGGAATCGCCATAGATGATGGGTATCTGCATTGGTAGCTCCTCCTGTTTTTGGTTGACAATTGTCTTGCATCTGTCCTGCTAGTTCTTCTATCGTGTTCTGTACATTGAATCCTAGCGTTTTAATTTCCCTATCAAACGTAACTTTGCTGTCAAACTTTTCTTTAAATAATTGTATTTCTTGTTGTTCACACAAGAAGTGTATCTAGCCGTCGCTACTTCAATGAAGTTGGTTCTGACTCCGGAACCAGAACAAAAACATATTCATCACTTACACTCACACTAAAACATTTTAACATAGAATCAGAAAATAATAGACGACAAATAACCTAAAGTGTGACCAAACATGTTTTTCTTAAACCAACGAAAAAATGTTGTGCAGAGCATAAACGCACCCCCAAGGATTCAGCAATTCAGCAGAAGTTTACCTGGAAGCCCTGCGAACGCCCTAACACAACATTTGGTCTTCGAGCACTTTTACAATTTTTGGCTATTTATATCCAGTTCGCCCCAGCAAGTATCGGTGGATCTGCAACAGAAGTTTACCTGGAAGCCCTGCGGACGCCCTACCACAATACTTGTTGTATTTCTTTCCAAAGATATACTATCTTTGTTTTGAGGAGATGCTAGTTTGCACCCCACTTCGGTCCCTTTTATGTTCTATAAAGTTTAATAAAAATCAAAAGAGCCCTTAGACTGCTTGTACTGCGTGATTTACTTCTCGAATCAGTGATGAGCTACTTGCAATGGTATTTTGTGGTGGTTTTAAAATAATCGTATGTGACTTCAATATCGTGATTTGAGAAGTAAAGATGTAAATCAGATAATTCAGATATAATATTAATCAGACAGCGTTCTGCTGCGAACAATCTTCTTTCTCTTCGATCCAAACATTTGACTGTTGTTTTCCCTAATGTGCACCTGCGTTTTAAAACATCTACCTGTCTGTCGAACTCATTGACTTTCCTCTCTATTGCCTCTGATTTCATCCTATCTTCTGTTGTTTTGCTATTTAAGCTACCTTTATTTTGACTCTAACTGTCATCACATCGTATTGTTTCTTATTGAATTAGTCATGATCGACTACTCTACTACTGAAACTGCCTTTTCTCCTACCTCTTCTAACTCGCCTCCTTTACCACCATCTAATTCCCTTATCCTGCCAACTAACTGCGACTGCTTCGTCATACACTCCATGCTTTTATCTGACATCATTGTGAAAAATTGAAAAAATTATTAAGATTTTCTTAACAAGTACTTTTTCATTTTAATTTTTAACTTCAATGGACTGCATGTGAATATTTTTTATCTTATTTTGTTTTTATAATTTTATATGTTATTTGATGCTCAATTTTTCGCCTCGTCCAGAGGCTCGTGAACCTTTCTTGTTCCCGTATCGTTTCTTGAAGATATTGCCCTCTGGATGAGCCTGAAGCTGATCCAGCAGGTCTCTCTGTCAATGCCTGGTCTTATATTCGGCGTGCTGCTATCGGCACCACTGCTCGAAGGATCAAATTGACGTGTCTGTCCGGTTTGAGTAATTGTAAGATACCGTTTTATTCTTACGAATCCTAAGTCTTATGACTAACAGAGTGTCTTATTTTAGGTCTGCTGTCAATGCATTATCGGCAGCAGCGGTCATAAGCTATTGTGTTTAATTAGCGACTTATTATTCCAACATGATATATCTTAGCGTAGGTCACTTTTTAGAATCTCATGCGAGCACATGTGACATGAAACTCGATGTCTGCAGTCATCTTCTAAGATACTGCCAGGCGCTTTGGCATACAATTTATCTAAAATGCCAAGCACACTTGTTAATCTCGACACTTGCTTTTTAAGCAGACCATTTTAAAGTAGAGTCGATATCTGATGTTATCGGTATCCAATGCTATCGACAAAATACAACCCTGCTTGTTCACTCATGAACTAGCGTACCGGAACAAGTATTTATTTAGATATCGTATAGATATCGTACACAAACATCGTAAGCAATAACTATGGAACATTTAAAATTCGGTTACAAACAATAATCAGAAATCTGTAAGACAAATCTCTTTCTACAAATGCATATTAAGTGTCAAAACAAATTTGAACTTTGATTATGCTGAATGGAAAAAAATACTATTGATTTATTGCTCTATGGCAAGGATTTGATCGGCAAGCCAGTCTTAAAATATAAAATATATGTAAATAAAATATATGTAAATAATTTAAATAAAATGCAAATAGAATCAAATCATTTTTGACAATATGATATGTTCAATACTTATGATGTTAATGCTAAGTGTTTAATTAGGAAAAGTATTTTTGGTTAAAGTGTTTATTTAAAATTTAATTTAGTTTTTTTTATACATGAAATATTCATTATGCTGCTCTGAATACATTTACGAAATTAGTTTTTTTCAAAAGCAATATTCCCTGGTTTTATCCAATTAGTTTTTTGTTTATTTTTTCGTTGTTTTTTTTTTTACGTACGTATTCTTCTAACAATTTGTGTTTTTTTTCCATCAGTTAAATTCATTTCTTTACAATATACATTATAAATACGTTTGTTTATATATTCATAAATAGTTCATATAATAAATTTCGTTTGAGCACAAATGCGAGTATTAGTCAAGCCAAACTGGAAATTGTAAATTTTGTTGTGCACACTACTTTGTTTTGTTTATGTTTATGTTTGTTTGTTTTTTTTTTTTGTGTTTGTTTTTGATGTTTTTTTTTGTGGGTCTCGCATTCGTTGTTACAGTTTTCAATGCCCCAAGCGACCTTAGGATTACGTTGAATAAATAAATGAGTTGAGTGTAGGCATTATTTTTAAGCTATTATTACATTTTTCTTAATTTTTTTTTTGGGTTTTTCTTTTTTGTTTTTGTTTTTTTTTTTTTTTTTTTTGGGGTTTTTGTAGTAATTTTTTTATTTTCAGCTACTTCTCATCATCATGGATAAACCAACACCATCCAGCATATTACCACTGATTCGAGGGGCGACGCTCAGCTCCGGGCGCAGCGCTGCCGGAGAATCGCGGCGAGGAGCTCTGCGAGGAGCTGCTGCTGGGCATACTACTGCAGGCGGCTTCGTTGGCCAGAAGCGTATGAATGGCCGCCAGCAGCTTCTTGCGAGCTCCAAACGCGGTGATGCCCAGCTCCATGAGATTCTCCTCGGTCAGGGTCGAGAACATTTCCAAGTCGATTTCGTTCAGCACGAAAATTTCTAGAAAATAAAACCAACAATTAACAAAAATATAAAACTAATAAAAAAAAATGTGTATATTCTATTTTCGGTATATTTATGTAAAAAAACCTTAAATGCAAAAATAATATAAATCAAATATTCAAACTAATTGTAAAATTACTATAAAATTTACGTTCATTTACAATTGAGAAATATAAAAAATAATATAATATTATTATACTCTGTTATATATATACTCACACAATGTAAGCATAACAAAAAAAAACAAAAACAAAAAAATGAAAAACAAATAAAATAAATAATAAAATAATATAAGAAATAAATAATAATGTATTATGTACAAAAAAAAAATATTTCAAAGACTATATATAAAAATAAAAAAAATGAAAAGAGAAAAAACAAAAAAGAGAAAAAACAAAAAAAAAAAACAAACATTGAAAGAAAAAAATACATTTAAAAAAGTGAACAAAAACACAAAAAAATAAGAAAAACAAAATTAAAATAATACCCTAACCTAAACCTATTTCCAAATTTATTCACACCTAACCAACACTTAATTAAATTCACCTCACATCAAATATCTCAAGCATACAACAAACGAATAAATCGATATCTCAACGAATTCAACGTATTAACAAGGCGAGCACAAAAATGCTGCAAATGTATGATGCCGTTCGACAATTTTTGGGTAATGAAATCTTTCTGCATACGCTTACCAACACTGACAATATCGCTTACAGACTCTGCGAAAAGAATTTGAGTGGAAAAATCGCTTTAAAATTATCTACAATTCAAAAGTAGCCGCTCAAAATGAGCTACTGAGAATCTCCGAACTCTGCTTCACAAGTAAATAATGCTCTAAGTTAATAAATATATAAATATGAATATAAAACGATGATAAACTTCAGCAGCACCGTATGGCAAACAACTGAACATCTACAAGTCTACTACAACTCTTCTACATTTGCGCATATGACATAAGGAAAATTGTAATATTATACTGAAGTACATAAGTCGTCTACACAAGTTATCTACGCAAATCTTCTACACAAATATTCTAAATTGGATTCATTCGAAAAAACAATACACGACGTTGATGGCCCATGGTTTACAAATTGTAAGAGATTGTGCATAAAACAAGTAATCAATCAAAAATTATGAAAACAACAATGATGGAAGACATCCATATTCCCATACTATTCCCATCTGTCTTCCTTATTCCTTTATTCTTACAAAAAATTACATTAAAAACATCTCTGTAAAAATAATGCAGAAAAAAGAGTTCATAATAATAATAATAATAATAATAATAATAATAATAATAATAATAATAATAATAATAATAATAATAATAATAATAATAATAATAATAATAATAATAATAATAATAATAATAATAATAATAATAATAATAATAATAATAATAATAATAATAATAATAATAATAATAATAATAATAATAATAATAATAACAATAATAATAATAATAATAATAATAATAATAATAATAATAATAATAATAATAATAAAAATAATAATAATAATAATAATAATGATAACAATAATGAATGATGATAATAATGATAAAAATAATAATAATACTTATTATAATAATAATTATAATAATAATAATAAAAATAATAATGCTATTAATGCTTATAATAATTCTAAGAATAATACAATTTCTAGAAAATATGAATTGTTCAATCCCTAATTTACTAAGAAACTAAATAAATTTAGTTTACATTTTAAATTATCAGGCTATTAAGTTCCTATATTACTATATTCCTTACAAAACAAAAATGAAAAAAAAAAGACTATCATAACTTTTTCGAAATAATTTTTGCTATTATATTCCAATAAAAAAAATACATGTAAATATTAATATTTTCTATATTATACTTCGAGAGCTTATGTTATTCCTATCTAGTGTTCAGACTTGTTGAAATAAAACTCTAATAAAACAATTTTAAATTTGTTTTTTGTTTTTTTTTTTTTTTTAATTAAAACAGTGGAACGAAAAAAATCATTTTTAATTATATATAGAAGCAAATGCATATTAATTAATTAAATAAACAAAATATGTTTATATATTCTCATATTAGAAAATTAATACGAAATAAAAATATAAATATCAATAGATAAATAAATAAAATCGTTAGACCTACATATTTGTGTAAACTAACTTATGGGAAAATTATCGATAATGTCTTGCACTAAAAAATTAATTTACATATAAAAATATATATTTATAATATTCCCAAATGGTACTAGGAAATTGTTATAAATAAAAATAAATAAAATATCGTGCTAAAGTAATTTTGTAAACTAACTAACTAAAACAAAACAAAAAAAAATATAAATAAATATATTTTTTGATAATGTCAACAAATATTAAGAAATTGTTAGGAAATAAAATTATAAATATTAAATAAATCCGTTGGACTAAACTACAGTACAAAATAATCCAAACTAACTATCTATCTATTTAAATATAATAATCTAATGGTTATAGAATATAAATTGAATAGAAAAATTGTAATTTTGACTGATTATGTCAATGTTAGGCTATCTCAACTATTATATCAAATAATTTATCTATCTCCAATTTTATCTATAATCTAATTTATAGAACAATTATCCACATTATATTGCAATTAAAATATATGTAAATATAAAATTGTGTTTTTTATAAATAGCAATCTCAACTGGTATTAGTTTGAAGTACAAATTGAATGGAAAAATTGTAATATTGACTTGTTAATTTCATTAAAAAATTTAATTACTAATATTAACTCAATTATTAATAGAAAATTGAAAATATATCGAAAGCTGGCTGGATTCTTTAAGGATAGCTGCAAAAACTAAATTTCCAGCGATTGGCAACAAAAGAATAGACAGATCTGAACTTGGTTTTATTTAATAGAGAGATGGAAAAGACAGACAGACAAGCGGGCATAGGGAATTGAGTTAATTCCTTATAAATAATGGAAGTAACAGAGAATTTGATTAGAGTGCGGATTTACTCACTTATGTAATGCTCCAGGCCGAGGCTTGTCAGTAGGGTATGTATATCTTTGTGTTGTGAGAGTTGCATGCGCCGACTGACGGGCGTTGCATCCAGCAGGCCCGTTGTCGCGCTCAGTCCATAGGGTGAGCCCAAGCCCGGCGGTGGGGGCGGCATGCGCCAGCCATTGCTAGCATTGCCAATGCCATCATCGACCGTCTCGATCGGAGCCGGCGAGGTCCGACTTAAGCCCATGCCCAGCCAGGCCGGTGTTGGGGTGCGTAGCTCACCGGCCACCGGAGTCCGTTCCATGGCCTTAAAGCCAAGCGCACGTTTCATATCAAAATCGAATGCGCGTTGCTGCTGCTGTTGCTGCTGCTGTTGCTGCTGCTGTTGCTGCAGCTGCTGCTTGCCAGCTGCTGCTGCTGCCAGGTCATAGTGCAGATTGCGATAGCTTTCGGCGCTGCCGGGCAACAGATGTGCCCCCCCGCCCGTGGCATTGCCCAGACCCAACAGCACTCCATCGCTGAGGCGCCGGCCCAGTCGGGCGGCGGCGCCCGCAATGCTGCCCGCCTCGCTGCTGTATGTCGAGTCCGGCGAATAGTGTGCACGATTGGCGCTCGCCGATGAGGAGGAGGTTGATGATACGGCCGCCTGTACTTGGGCATAGGGTGGATACGATTGCTCCAGTGAGGTGGTGCTGCTGCTGAAGCTCTGATAGCCGCTGGTGTTTTGGCTGCAACTGTTCCGTGGTGACAGATTCACGCCCACTGTGGGCGGTGGGCCAACGTTCGTTGAAGGCATCGGAGCGGGTGGCGGTTTTAGCAGACCGCTGCCGGGCACTTGCAGATAGTTGTTGTTGTTGTTGTTGTTGATGTTGTTGTTGTTGTTGATGTTGCTATTGTTGCTGATGTTGTTGTTGTTGTTGCTGCTGCAGTTGTTATTGTTGCTGTTGTTGTTGTTGTTGTTGCTGTTGCTGCTGTTATTATTGCTGCAATTGCTGAGATTGTTCATGGTCGAGACCTGGCGCGGCTGATAGCTACTATTATGCAGCTGCATGTACTTCTGCGTGGGCGCACATATGCCCGTGGGCGTGACCAGGCCAACGCCCACATTAGCAGCTAGCAGCATGTGAGCCTTATTGCCATACGGCGTCAACTGGCCACCCATTGTTGGGGGCAACAACGAGGGCGTCTTCGGACTATCCGGGTAACCCGCAAGCAGAGCCGTCAACTGTGAACGATACGCCAGACTCACATCCTTGTCCTTGGGCATATAATAATGATCGGGTATCTCCGGCTTGATGACGGGCGTTGTCAGATGTAGTATCTCCTGGCGTGCCTCATAGATTTTGTCTGCGAGATAAATGAAAAGCTGTTTAGTATTTGGCATACTTAAACTTTTGTACAAGAAATCTACTCTCTAAAAAAATTGGTTTTTTCAATTTCTTTTTTATATTATTTTTTTATATACCCTGAACCCATTAAAAATGCGTCCGCCTGTCCTTTGAACAAGGATATCAGAACCTATAAGAGCTAGAGACTTGAAGTTTTAGATATAGGTCCTTCTTGTGCCTGCGCAGATCGATTTTGTCTCCGATATTAACTAACTTGACCGTCTCCAAGTAATCGATAAAAATCGATATAAAAATCCTGTTTTTTGAGCAATTTTGGTAAATAATAAGAGCTAGAGTCACCAAACTTGACATGTATCTTTTAGCATAGTATATATGTATTTATGAACTATCTTTCAGTGGCTAAAACCCGCTCTCCCCCACCATCACAAAGCTATAAATCAAGTAAATAAACTAATTTATGCTGCCCATCAATATAAGCCTCAAAATAAATGCAATTGACTTTTTGAGCTAGCGCAAATTCCAAGAATTTCTGTATACATGTACACACACATTCATGCGCGTCTGCTTCGAATTCTATCAACAATTGCAATTTTTTTTTGTCTGGAGTGGCTGTTGAATAGAGTCGGCAGCAAGTAATGAGGTCAGTTGCCCTGCCAAGAGAACTTTTTTTAATCTCTATTACTATTTGGAGTTGGAATAAGGGGGTTCAGGGTATTCGCTAGTCGGGAGCTCCCGACTACAACCTCTTGTTAAATGTTTGTTTCATAATATTTTCATAGAGTATATTATAAAATATTTTTTAATCAATATATGATAAAGTTTAGGAAATCTGAATTTTATTTTAACATAATGATTTTACGAAATATTTTTTAATCAACTTCAGATTTTCAAATTAATATCACGAGAATTGGAACATAACTTGCGGAAATCCTAATTAAATTTAATCGCAATGCTTAAAGGAAGTTAAGTAAACGCCCTTAAAATAAGTCAGTCACTTCTCAACAGTAATTTTATTAAATATTTGTATATATCAATTTTTGAAAATGAAAAAACGCGCTAGAAATATTTCACAATTACTTGAGAGTTTTTGAATTCGTATAATAAATATATTACATCATATTAAAACATATTTGAAGAGTTGTCGAAATTTTAACTAATTTTAATTCGAAATATTCTGTATGTCAATTTTCGAAGGAAGTTTTACTTTGAAAAAAAAAACGTTAAAAAATACTCGGTTAATAAAGATATCAATCATAATTGGTTCTAAATAATTTAATTAATTTAAATAATTCTAAATAATTTAATTAATTTAATTGTGTTGCGCAATAACATCAATAATTTACGTCGCCTTTTTTTTTTTTTTTGTAGAGCTATATAGAGGGGTATCCCTTACCTACTACTCTTCTATATATTTAAAATATATTTTAAGAAAATTAAAAGTAATGAAATTATAAGAATTATACTGAAGACTGAAAGCCAGACAGAACAAAATGACAACTCCAGTACATTGTCTGATTTTAATTCTAATCTTTTATGCGCATATAATTTCAAGACATATTTCAAAAGAATTTTCCATAATTCATTAACCCATTTAAGCGAGGGGTCTATAGGGTATATAAAGATCTAGAATGCAAAGCTTTTTTGCATCGTATATTTTGGATAAGTTGGATAAAGTATTAAGTTTGAGCCTAAACGTAAAGCGAGACCATTTTTAATAGATTATTTTTCTATTCATAAATATTAATGCAAAATGTTGAATTTTTTGACATTTTGTGACATAAAAAATATTCAATATTATAAATATTGCCTATCAAGTTTGCTATTTTTTGTTTATGCATTTAAAAGTTCTGTCTGATAAGAGAAAGAAGACGAATAGTTCAAATTTTAGCCTGGAGGCTCCTTGATGTGGAAAATGTGGTCCACGAACCGAACCTGCAGGCAAAGTGTGGGTTTGAACCCTCAACTGAGCCTAGCTGGCATTCTAAGTCGATATGTCGAATATATCGATATTCTTATTGTAAAACAGAAGTTGTACTGTACTCTTCTCTGCGTTGAGAGATAACGAATTGCAAATACAATTACGATAACAAATAAACGATATGAATTATATCGATAGTCGAACGCATTATGTTCGACTATCGATATAATTCATATCGTTTATTTGTTATCGTAATTGTATTTGCAATTCGTTATCTCTCAACGCAGAGAAGAGTACAGTACAACTTCCTACAAACATTTAAAATGAATATGCATAAAATTTCAAATTTCTATCCATTTTTGTTTAAGACTCACCGATAAATTTCTCAATGCCCTTGATGACGATCGCTAAGGTGCTCTGCCGCTGCTTCTGGCGCAGCGTTATATAGACACCATATTTGAGATTGAGTCCCATTATTTCGGATGCATCGGTCTGATTGTCCGGAAAGTCAAATATCAATGCAACAGGCATATTGCCGAGCAACTGTTGTCGCGCCCTATAGACATCGTCGATGCGTCCGCTGATTGTCACCTGTGATTTCTTCAGCGGCTTAACATTCATATCAGTCAGATCAGGAAAAATGATTTTGGTCTGTGTGCGGTCCATGATGCTCAGTAGATTTACATTGTTCTTGCCCTTGACAATCTCATGATGTTGCGGCGATATTTCCATTTGCACATTCACAAGAATTTGGCTCTAAATTGGACGCAACATTAATATCAGTTCATCAATGCTGCTCTACGTGAAACTTACCGCAATGCTCTCAAAAGCGAAATTGATCAGCAGCTGGGTGGCATCGCGCACCTGCGCAGACTCCTTCTCGGAGCCCTTGACCAGCACCAGAGATGTATGCAGCTTGGGACGCGATGAGAATATGACCTGGCCCATGCAGATGGCGGAATAAGAAATTCAGATTATTTCAAAATGAATTTGAATCGAAATTTAGTTGCTACAAAAAGAGCTGAACCAAAACCCGAACCGATAATTAACCTGGGCCCAACCCTGGGATCTAGACACGCATGAAATTCAAGGCAGGAAGGAAGCTGGTTCAAACCGTAAAAGCCGAAGCCCGACTTCATTCCTGTTCGTCAACTGTTTTTCATTTACCTGCACATTGAATTTGCTCTCAATCATTTTGATGTATGGCGTCTCATGATCCGGCTGCGGCTTGCCCGGCCCCATAACTGGCATCTCAAAGGAGATGAGCAGCGGCGTCGATAGTCTCACCAGAGCACGGGCACGTTCCACGCCGTCCAGGCTGCCGCACAGCGACACCTGATTTGATTTTTCCGTTGGATTCGAACGATTCGAGTCCGGGAAATGTATGTGCGTGTGCGTGTCGTCCATGATGCGTTTAATATTGTTGCCGCCGCGTCCAATGATATACGAGTGATCCGTATAGCTAACATCCATTTTCATAATGACGCGAGTGCCCTGAAAAAACAAAAAAAAACAGAGATATATAGAAAATGCAGCTGAAAATTCAAGTCAATTTTCATACGCACCCTGGAGTCAAGACTGCCCAGAATATGATCCTTGGCACGTTGAACCTGCTCCACCTTGCCCACAATCCGCACATGTGGATCTAGATGGAAGATATATAGATAGATAAGATAGATAATTATAAGCTGCATATGCATAGGTATTTTCGGGACTCACCCTTCTTGCTTTTGGCGCCGATCTTCAGTCTGCAAGGCCAGCTCACATATGTATCCGTGGTGTTCATGATCTAAAAGATAATAAGTATATATGCATATATAGGTTATATATATGCGTCTTTATATAATACACTTGAATTTTGTTTCGGTAATTATAATTAGCTAAACATTTATGGTTTCTTCACTAAAATTTGTAATGTGTCGGCTAAACGTTTAAATGTGAATTTTGTTGTAACGTTTAAATAATTTGTACGAGCGTGAAATATATTTGATCTATACACTAAATCGAATGCCTACTGAGACAATCCCGAACAACTTCCATCTTCCAACTTCCATCTGCAGTATACTGATAAGACAATGAAGTTGAAACTGAGGACGCTGGTTCAAGTCTCACTAACGCTGACAGATCGCCAAACATAAAAGATATCTGAGCCTAGGCAACACGTGCATATTATTTATAAATGTTTGCTCTTCAATTGAATAAAGTTAAATACGACAAATTAATTTGTTGTTCACTCAAAATAAGTATTTGAAAAATATAAAAATCGATTGCAAACAAGTAAGAGGTTCTAGTCGGGAGCTCCCGGCTAGGGGATACCCTGAACCCCCTTCTTCCAACATCAAATGCATATATATATTCTATTTTAGAAGCTATATGTCAAGTTTGGTGACTCTAGCTCTTATTATTTACCAAAATTGCCCAAAAAAACAGGATATCGATATCGATTTGTATCGATTGCTTGGAAACGGAGGAAGTTATCGATTATCCGAAACAAACTCAATCTGCGCGGGAACTAGGAGCATCTACGTCTAAAATTTCAAGTCTCTAGCTCTTATAGGTTCTGAGATCCTTTGGCTCATACATACGGACGGACGGACGGACGGACAGACAGACGGACATGGCTAGATCGATTCGGCTGCTGATGCTGATCAAGAATATATATACTTTATGGGGTCGGAGATGCTTCCTTCTGCCTGTTACGTACATTTGGATTTTGCACAAATACAATATACCCTTATACCCATTTTTAATGGGTTCAGGGTATAAAAATATGGGAGCATCTAAATAATTAGAATTTAATATTCAACAAGGATCTTAGAAGGATATTACGGAGTATCTAATTTAAGCACATATCTAATAATAATGTTGATAAAATAGATGACTAGAGAAAAATAAATTAGAATTTAATATTTGCGAAGCATAAAAGAATAGGATAATAGAATAAAACATATATATTTGACTATAATAATAATTATATAAACGAGAAAGAAAGGCTATCTTCGGCACGCCGAAGATCTAATACCCTTGCAGACCAAACCTTTTTATGATGCTTATAGTGTTTTTGCACAGAGAAAATAGTTAATGCCGAGTTTGGTCAAGATATCTTAATAAACAAAAAAGGTTTTCAATCAAAAATGTAGTTTTTGACAGATCGTTCATATGGCAGCTATATGATATAGCGGTCCGATCTTAATAGGATTTTGCATATAAATGAGGAGCATAGTAAAACTAATAAATGCCGAGTTTGGTCAAGATATCTTGAATGACAAAAAAGTTTTCCATACAACAACTTAATTTTCAACCGATCGTTCCTATGGCAGCTATATGATTTAGTGGTCCGCTCAACAGAAAGACGGACTTCTGCAAAACTTCATTAAGGTAGCTTAAAAACTGAGAGACTATATAGAAACAGACAGACGGACAGACAGACATGGCTAGATCGACTCGGCTGTTGATGCTGATCAAGAATATATATACTTTATGGGGTCGGAGATGTCTCCTTCTATGCGTTACACATTTCACGACAAAATTATAATACCCTTTTTTGTTTATATAATAAAAGTAAATATTTTTAGAAAATGACGTTTCAATATAATTAAAATTAAAATATAATATAGCATGTGAAAAGAATTCTATTTTAAGTTACGAATTTAATTGTCAACTTACATCATCAAAGAAATACTCTGCCCCGTTCATGCCCTCAATGGCGCTGTCCGCTGTAATTGTAGTTAAATTGTAATTAATAATTCGTGTGATTTGGCCACACTTTTTACCCATTATCAAGCGTTCCAGTTTCTGTCGATCAACCTTGAAGCGCTCCGTGTGCAGATCGTCCGGATTTTGTACGCCCAATTTTAATGCAATGGCCCGTATGTCGCTCCAGTCGCTGTCCACCGAGGAGATTTCGCTCTGCGTCTCGCTCGGCGCCCCGGTGCCCCCCGCTGGGCCCGCGGGCAGGGAGAGGGTGGTGAGGCCAACGGCGACGGGGGTCGCTTTGGCGCTGGCCATGCCGGAGATATCCGCGGCCGTTGGGTAAATCAGTTTATTGAATGGGGCACAGGAGAGCATGTCGTTGTTATCGCTTATCGCTTATCGGTTATCGGTTATCGATTAACGATTATCAACTAATCGATTAACGGCTGTTGTTTGCAACTTGTTCAATTTGTTTATCGAATGGTCGTTTAGTTTTGAAAACCAAGCAAAAGGTCGTTTAAAGGATGTTCGTCTTTGGTTTTTGGTTCAGATGCGATGTGCGTGTGTGTGTGTGTGTGAGAGAGAGTGTAGGTGTGTGTGTGTGTGTGTTGAGTCTGAGCAACACTGCAATAGATGAGGTGAGCTGTGTATGAAACATGAAAGTGCAATGTTAACAGAGTACATGACAAATGGCCGTCAAAGTAAGGGAAAAATGGCAATGAGAATGGAATGGAATCAACGATATCTCATTTCGATATCACATTTTCGTGAAATATCATTCAAAGTTGTCATATAAATAATGTTGCTTTCATAAAATGCGTACACGACTTTTATACAGTTAACACTTGAAGTCCACGCTTTGAGGTTATGGCCATGAATTCATTCGGTTTCCCTTATAATAATTCGAATGTCTTTTAGATAGCTTTCTAATTTCCAGGCACTAACATAACCTCTCTGTGATATTCGCTAGACAGCCATGAGGTTTCCTGTGACACAGCCCGTTTTCAGAAGCGGAAACGCAAAGAACGCACAGAAAAGAAAGAAGAGAAAAAAAACTGGGCATACATATATTTACAGTTACACTTTCACTTCAACTGAGTCACTTCTCGAACAACCGAACAACTTACCGAACCAGTTCGCCAGCTCTATTTGAGATTGAGTAGGCCTCGAAAGTCCAAGCAAATGGCATGCGTTAGGTCCTGGACAAATTGTTGGGCCTCGACGAGACAAACGTTCATAACAAAATTACGAATTTGTACGAATCTTTCGACGAAAGGCATTTATATTGTGATCAACGCAATAGATTTGTCTATATTAGCATATATAGAGTCTTTTATTATAATAAAGTTAAGCGCTTTATTTTATTTTATTTTTTTAGATATATTTCAAGTATGAAATAACATTGAACTTGGAAATGATATTGGTATTTTTTTTTTGTCTTCGCATAAATTGCTAGCAATTTATTTATTATTTCTTTATTTTTTTTTTAGCTAGGAACTTTGCTGCTTTCACTTGGACGACTCGAAGGCAATTGAACGGACTGCCGGCATTTGAGCTGGAGGCCAGGGATCGATCGCATGCTTTTGTCAGCGGCAAAAGCTGCCGAGGCAACAGGCGGCAACTGTAAATTGGGATTAGCCAATGGGAAAAATGTGGCCCGACGCCTGGATAGATGCACTAAAGAGGCCGCCTGGGTCAACGAACCGCTCGCAGAGAGTGCAAAATAGTTCGATTCTTACAAACAAAACAAACTTACAGAGAGTTGGGCTGAGCTGTCAGGCGACGACAGCTTGTGAGAGCGGCTGTTAATAAAGAGAGCGCGCTCTCTTTTGTCATATTCACAGAGTCGAATTTCCTTTCTGCTACAATCAGGCTTAAGCCAGCGCAGCTTAAAGGCCAAAAATCACACGCATTTCGTTTAATATAAATATTTTTTTATTTTTATTAAATTTTTAAAATTTTTTGATTTAGTTTTTATTATACACTTTCACATTTGTATAATCTGTTTGTATTGACATTAGATTTAAACGTTGCTGTTAAACATTTCTGTTGTTTAGCATTAACAGCGCGCTGTTAACTAGCATTAACATGCTGTTAACATTTTGGAAGAACATTGCGCTAAAGCAAATTGGAAAGAGATCAAAATTCTTGCATACAGTTAAAAGCACACATTTTTTCCCGCCAAAACAAAAATGAAAAAATACTTACCGCAATTTGTAATAGGTTTTTAGCACAAAGGACACAAATTAGTTATTTATTAACTTTTTGTTTCAATTAACACAATAAATTTTTATAAAATCATAAATAGGCACATTAAATAAATTAGCCAAAAAAAAATAGACGCTCGTCAATTGGTTAAATTAGTGTTCAGTCGCTTAACTTTTCGATTTAAGCACAAATAAGATAATCACTACCGAAGACAGGTGCGCGCAGGAGGGGAGATACAATCAATAGAGCAAGACACGTGTGTAGAAAAGACAGAAAAAAAAATGGAATTGAAAAACGAATTGAAGCTGTTGTCCGAACCGAGTCAAGGTAAAGTGGTTTAAAGCGTAGCTTGGTTTTTATTTTATTTTATATTTTTAAATTAAACACTTAACTTAATTGAGTTTCGCTTTGGCCTTATTCGAAATACAACGCGTCGTAGTAAATGCAAACGGACTCGGGCGGTGCTTTCGTCGTCATTGAAGCGCGTTAACTGCGCGGCCCGATGCGGGATCTTGTCCCGTCTGACCTTCAGGCGGAGCTTTGCTCAACTAAAGTGCTGCGCGAGGGGTGCGCGGGGCTGTGCACGCATCCAAAAGCTCACAGCTCAACGTGTGCAAGTAGATAAATATACAAAGAATAGCAACTACAATTGCAGCAGCAGCTGCAGCAATAACTGCGCTCGCGCAAAAGCTTTGCCTGTGCAAGGAAAGCTTTTCGGTGCGCCACAGCCTGTTCGCAAGCTTAACGAATAGTTGCGTGCGCTCGTCGCGCCCATAGATGGCGCTGTGGCTGGTTTACAGTGTGAGGCGTAAGTTGGTGGCCCCGTTGGAATCAAAATAACATTTGATATCATTATTTATCATTTATTATTGTTTATTTATGTTTATGTATTTAATTTGCTTCTTATTTAACCCATAGCCATAAATACTAATGCTTGCCAATTTTTATTTAAATTTACTTTATACATTTATGCATTTATTTGATTTAAATGTTTTTTTTTTTGCTTATTATTAAGTGATTTTCTTAAATGTATATTTTTTACTTTATACAACATTTTCCGACTTTTATTTGTTTTTTGTTGATTATTTGTTTAATTGCATTTCGCTTTTATTTTCAGATATGAATATGTATTTTATATTCAATGTAAGCTTTTCCTTTTTTTTTTCTTTTATATTAATCGTATAATATATTGATCTAAATTCTAATTTCGGGCTTAGACAACATTAATGTTTAAATATCGTTTTGTTTATTGTTTACATCGAAAACATTGAAAATAATAAATATGCGTAGTTTCTCTACGACTTTCTATATACACTAACAATTCATGAATAACATCTATATAATGCCTATTTGTATATTCTATGTTTATAAAGCTGAACAAAACTGAAAACTGAAACTGAAAATGAAAAATTGATTTATATAGAAAATTGAGCAAACGTAAATCAGGGAAGACAACTTTCACAACACTTTTTGATTAGATAAACCTTAGCATGCATTATATCTGTATATATATATATATATATATATATATGTATATCTGGGTATATATCATATTCAACATTTACACATACAAATTTACTAACCATAAATTCACAATTGATTTTGTGCTATTTAGACAACTTTTTAGCTTAAAATTTACTATATACAATTTTTCCAAATTTTGATTAGAATATTATGAATTATTATATTTACTTTCATTTCCGTTTGATTATTCATATTATTACCTACTGGAGTTCTATTTATTTCTTTTCTTTTTAAATTCCCAACTTTTTTCTATGGAATTAATTTCCCAAGAGCTTTTATATCATTTACATTTGGCGTTTCCATGCTTCCAAATTACAGTTACATCGATTTCATTTATAAGGCAAAGGAACTATTTACCGTTGGATTTTTGTTTGCCAAAAATGTTAAATAATTTGTTGTTATTTTTAGTTTGCTGAAATAAAACAGATTTTTGTTTAAACGTTTCCTTGAATTTGCTGTTATTCACCTTTTTTGCGTCTACAAATGAAAAGTTTTTTTTTTTCTAATTAATTTTGCATGCTTCCAAAACCGTAAAAAGTTCCTTTCTATATAATCTTGTTATTATTATACCAGCTTACATATACAGATATATGTATGTATATATATTTTGTAAATTTTCTTTATTTCCTCCATTCTCATGTTTAGCAGAGCTTTATTTACAAATTAACTGCGCAAACTACTAGAAATTATATGAGAAGCTTTTTTCGTTTCCTCTTTCTCTTCTGTAAACTGCACTGCGATATATAAAAGCTAAGCTCAAGTGCAAAGTCGAAGATCAGATAAGAGTCTGACCGCAAAAGCTTTTCACAGTTCTCTTTCGTTTGTGTGCGGCTTAAGTTAACGTTCTGCCTTACAAATATGTGTATATTTGTTCTCTTTAAATATCTTCAATTAAGCCTGCCTTCAATGCAGCCTGCAGCCCAAAGAAAGTGTTTTTTCTAACAACATAAAATGCCTTGAGTTGGAAAATAAGAGAAAAAATTAATTCAAATAAGGTGTTTGTTGTTTTTAAATACCTTTAATTTATGTGCTAATGTGCAGCCAAAGTGCGAAGCGAATGTTTGTTTTTAAAAAAAGTGTTTTTTTTTTCTAAGCAACAGACTGAAAGAGTGAGTGGAAGGATAGGAGAACGATAAAGGGAGAGCGAGAGCGTAAATTCCCCATTTGGGCACTTTACTAGTGCATGGGAATTTATCGAATTGCCAGTTGCTTTTGCGCAGTCGTGCGAAGTGCGTCGGTTTCGCGTGTGTCCACAATGTAACGGAGAACGCGCGCGCGCCCGTCGGTAGTGTGTGTGTAAGAAATTACTGAAAGCGCGCGTACAGCTGGCAGCGCAGTCAGCGTCGGTAATGCAAGAAAGAAAATGAAAAGCCCTGACCTTGGGAACAGTTAATTTATGATTTTTTTGTTTGATTTTTTTTTGCTGTGATATTCTGATCTCTATTGTGTTGTGAGCCTTGCGCAAAGGCAGCGCAGTTCGCATGTGCAGCGCAGTCAGCGTCGGTAATGCAAGAAAGAGAGAAGAAAAAGCCTAGTCTTGTTAGTGTGTGTGATTTTTTTTTTTTTCAAATGTTATTGCTATGTTGTCAACTTTGTCTGCCCAAAGGCAGCGCACTCAACGTCGATTTTGGATCGGCTTAGGCTGTGTATATTGCGATGTTAACGAAAGTGAGCAGCGCGGTCAGCGTTAGGGAAATTACGAAGGCAGGGATAGAGGGAAATGGCTGCTGGGTAAGTTTAGCTCTTAAATTTCCCTATTGCATACTAATTGCTACGTCATTTTATACATACATAATTATATAATTTTGTATACTTATGATTTTTAATTATTATAATAATTAATGCTATTTTAATGAGCTTCACCTGTTTTTTGTTTTTGCGTACATATGTTGCATACATATAAACATTCTTTTTTATAATAATAATATTTACTTGAATTACGTTTATTACATTTCTCTTTTCCTTATCAATTACAATTTGCCTCTTTAATATTATTTAAGCTTCTCTTTGCATGCTCTTTTTTTTCATTCTTAAGTATGTTTGTGCCAAGGCGTACTGCTGCGCAAATATTTATTAATATTTGTTTATTTCTGCTTCGGGCATTAATTATTGCGCTACTTCGCGCATGAAAACAAATAAGAGAAAGAAACAAATATGGCGTGTTGGTTAAGAGAAATGTGCAGCACCTTAAGCTACTTTCCGGAATGCATTTCATCATTAATTCAGCATCAGCAAGTCGCTGCCGCTGCCGCTGCCGCAGCCGCAGCCAGCGTCGGCCAAGTCATCAATAATCGTTGATCCGGCAGCGCGGCCGCGCCCACTTTGGCAAGTGTCGCTGACAGCTGTTGATGTTGGTGCTCTAGTGCTTCCACTGCTGCTGCAGTTGCTGTTAAATCAACGCCTGACTCGGCAGCACTTGCTATATTCCCAGCATCGTCATTATCGCCGTCATCATCAACACCATCATCCTCATCATCATCATCATCGTTGCCGTTATTCCGTTGCAGGCAGCCCGAAAGTGTTGCCAATGCCATTTGACAATTATAAAAGCATTTGTCGCTCTCACTCGACGCTGCCTTTGACATTGTCACATTGACAACACGCGCGACGCCGCCGTCGCTGCCGTCGCTAGCCGACTGTTGCGTCGCTGCTTTGTCGCTGGCGTATTGACAGTTGTTAATTTGATGGCCCACCCACAGGCAGAGGGGCAGTGCGAATGCAGTCGCCGTCGCAATGCCGTTCGCTGCGCTAAGCCATGTGGCGCATCTAGCTGAGTGCCACGCCCACTTTGAAAGCTGCCTGTTGATGTGTCTGTGAAGCTTTGTTATGTGCTGAAATGGCAGCGCCTCCATAAGCTTGAATGGCCAAACGCGCCAGAAGATTTCGTGAGCAGCGCTTGAAGCGCCCGACGCGCTGTTATCTGCTGCAAAAGAGACAGAAAGAGAGAGCGTGAGCGAGGCACAGCGGATTATTAAGAGAGCTGTCTGTGTGTTGCGTGACGTGTGCATTAGCAAGAAGATTTTCTAAGCTCACAAAAAGTATAGCTTAAAGAGTGTGTGCCGTAGAACTGCAAATATATTTCTGGGATTTTAAATAAAATTAATTAGACCCAGAAAAAATATTCCTAGTTAAATGTCCAATAGGATATTGAGTTGATTGATCTGCTCTTTATTTGTTAAAAAAATGTCTCTAATTAAATGTACCATGGGACATTGTTTTGCTGAAGGATATTTGCATGTTCTCTTAATAGGAGCACATATTTAGGGTAATTCACTTTTAATAAGAACTTAAGCAGTTTCTGCTACACTCTTTGGGATATATCGCACTTTGAATACACTACAAGTGCTTACAGAGTAAAAATATCCCTAATTAAATGTGATATGGGATATTGTTTTGTCTGCGGATATATGCATGTTCTCTTAACAGGAGCACACATTAACAGTTATAGTACTCTAATGTATTACTTAAGCAGAGCTCTTAATAAGAGCACATATTTAGGGTTATTCACTCTCTCATGTCTTGTTTAAGCAGAGCTTAAGCAGTTTCTGCTACACTCTTTAGGATATATCGCACTTTAAATACACTACAAGTGTTTACAGAGTATAAAAAACAAAATATCCCTAAATAAATGTGCTATGCGACATTGTTATGTCTGCGGATATTTGCATGTTCTCTTAACAGGAGCTCAAGTTAAGGGTTATTACTCTCTAATGTATTACTTAAGCAGAATTTTTTTTTAAAAGGAGCACATATTTAGGGTTATTCACTCTCTCATGTCTTGTTTAGGCAGAGCTTAAGCAGTTTCTGCTACACTCTTTGGGATATATCGCACTTTGAATACACTACAAGTGTTTACAGAGTATAAATAACAAAATATCCCTAATTAAATGTGCTATGGGACATTGTTTTGTCTGGGGATATTTGCATGTTCTCTTAATAGGAGCACTTTTTAACGGTTATTACTCTCTAATGTATTACTTAAGCAGAGCTCTCTTAATAAGAGCACATATATAGGGTTATTCACTCTCTCATGTCTTGTTTAAGCAGAGCTTAAGCAGTTTCCGCTGAATACTTGTGGGCTTTCTTGCACTTTGAATAACTACAAGATCAGGCTGTTTTAACTGATTCTCTATTTTTCTATGTATAAAATGTGGGTGCAAGAAAAATTATTTAAAATTTATTGTACTTTTTGACAAAGTCGTGTTATATTTGCTAGTACGTTATGCTCTTGCAATTCTGATTTCCATATAAGATATATATAGTTGTGCTTTTTTCTGCTACTCCCTTGCACTCGATTGAGCTTAAGTCACTTGCTACCAGCTGAAAAATATCTGATAAGTCTCTGCCACCCCCCCAAAAAAAAAGGCCCCACACACACTCTCGTATGTGTGTGTGTGTGTGGTATTCATGTCAACATTGCATTTGCATAAAGTTCACAAAAATCGAATTCACTCGAATCGGAACTACAAACAGTAAACTGCGAAAACCCACCCAAAAAAATGTTGTGAATTTCCCGAGCGTGAGCTCTTCTTGCAGCAAAGAATGTTGCATACTTTTATGCGCACGTTGAATATATTTTCTCTATTTTTTCAAGTCGATGTAATTTTAAATACAATTTGCAGCTCAATGCGTTTACAATGTTGTATTTGTTGTTGTTGTTGCTGTTGCTGCTGCATTTTGGCGTTAAGTAAATGTTGCCGCAAATAAGTGGCAACTCTGGCAAATAGCGTAAGTGTATGTGCGAGAGAGAGAGAGAGAGAGGGAGTATGAACCACACAGCAATCAGCTTGCTTTTCTCCAGCGAAAATTAGAGGGGCAAGTACAAGTGTGCTACTAGTCAAAAGTGAACGACTAGCAGATACCCTGTAGTTACTTTTTCTGCCGCATACTATGAAAATGCAAATTTGAATAACTTTCTGCCAGATAAACTAAAACCTACGTCGCATATACCCTGCCTAGGCCATTTACAGGGTATGTAAATAGACCCCAAAGGCTGGAATTACCTCTGGGACAAAATCAGCTCTCGTCTGCAACGACAATCCGCGACAATCTTTCACTGTCTGAAACGAAGTTTATAGCAATTTGATTTGGCCCAACATTTGATTCGATAAGCGTGTCGGTTATCCTGCTGCCACTTTCCAGGAGCAGCAGCAGCAGCAGCAGCTGCCTCTGCCTGAATGTTTATGCTGGCAAATGTTATTTGCATAATTTACGTTGTATGTTCGAGCGGCAAACGAGTCGGCAGAGAGGGGAGCTGAGCAGGGGGGGGCCGGGGATCGCAGGACACCAAGTGGCTTGATGGGCAACCATTGAAAGTTGACATAGCAGATGCTCAAAACTGTTGCCCCACCCCACCTTATCCCCACTTGTGCAGTTTGCATGCAGCTAGGATCAGGCTGGCAAACACTTGTTAAAAGGTTTTCCAGTTCAGTTTGAAAACTACTTGAGGCGGCATTAGAGCACGGCGCTCGGCTGAGTAAATTCCATCAGAAGAAAAAGAAAAGGGCGAAAAAATGGAATTTCTATTGTTTGATCTAAACAGCCGCCCATAGGATATTCATAAATTGTTCAACACTGGACCAGAGATTAATACAAGTTATATAAGATATATTCCCAGTCAATTGGCTGCAATTAGTTGTTTAAAGGAATTAGCTCTGCTTAGAAAATTCTTGAGTTTTTGTGACCATATTTTTGATGCATTTTTCAACACTTACGCGCCAAGTGCGTCAAATACGATTCATTGTGATCCTCATAGCCTCCACGTTCCCGATCGCCATGCCCATTGCCATGCTCGTCCAGGGGATAGTTATTGATATCGTACGATCTGCCGGATGCCATAATTCTGGGCCGATCCTCTTCGATGATGCTTTCGATTTCCTCTTTGAATATATCAAATATGTTGGCCGTGCATTTGAGCTGTGAATTTGAAGAGAGCTATAAGTATTTCTTGCATATTTTTCTGGTATTACAAGTACAGAGGTCGCTCGCAAAGTATAACAGCTGTAGCTTGTGCAAGATTGATTAATTAATAAACGAAGCACATTTGAAAGAACCCAATGCCTTTGCCAAATTGCAGACGAGTCCTTCTTAGCGTGCGACCACTGTACCTTGCATCCTTTGGCACATACCCTCATCTGACCCTTGAGAAAATGCTGTGTGGTTACCATAAAGTGAATGGCACTTGTCACCGATTCCAGAGTGCTGTTCGCTTGTTTCTCAATCTGATAAGTCTTGATATGATGCGGCGGCACCTGCACGAAACAGAAATGAGAAACGGATATTGTCAATTGCGAGAGTGTGTGTCAAGTGGCATGTTTTGGGCCACAAATGAATCGAAACGAATCCGCGCTTCAATACATCTGTTCAAAAGAGTTTGAGACTCAAATTTATAAATATATATATTCATCAAAAGGCGCTGCGTCTTACAGATATGCGACATCAGTTGTCTCCACTCATCAAGGCACACTCAACTGCACACACACACACACACACACACACACACACACACACACACACACAATGCACAATGCACAAGTGGCGACTGTTAAGTGGAAACTGTGCCGTGTCCTGCTCTGAGCTGTGGTCCTTCGGCCGGGTGTGGTCCTGAGCCTGTGCCACTTCTTACGCCCAAAAAACATGCCACAGCAGGCAAATTTATAACTTATGAATGATGAATAGATTCACGCTTGAGTGATTAAGTGGAGCAAAGCCTGGGGGGCAGGTTGACGAGGTGAGGACGAAGGCAGTCGAGCCAGGACGAGGCCACTTTGTTTGCGGTGAGTTTAGTTTGAAGTGCCTGCAGATAACGTTGCCAGCCTGACAGCCGCACCACCCCCTTCCCCCCACTCCCCTTCCTCCCGCCACACCCCTTTACGCAGCCACACATGAGTGAGGGAGGCATGGGGCAGGTTCTGTTGAAAAGCGCTCGTTAGCTAAAAGATCAAGTGGCGAACCAACGCACACACACCAAAACACACACACACACTCACACACCAGACCACACTCGAGTGTTGTTTGTGTGAGTTTTTGCTGAGTTGCTTGTTTGATAATGATAAAAATATATCTATATCTATATATATTTGCAACTTTCTCAGTTGTTCTGTTGGTCCTTTCACTTAATGCCAGCAAGGACCTGTCTTCTTTTTTTTCGCCACGAAAAACTGGCCACAAATATCAAACTTTTAGCTGGAATTTATTTGTATAACATGCATATAAAATTGCTTTTATTTATTTAATTTTGTTTTTTGCTTGCATTTTTATTTCAAATATTTTAGCAGAGGCTCGTTTTTTTTTTTTAATTTAAGCAATTTTTCAATTACGAAAAATATCGAAATTTTTTTGTTTTTTTTTTTGCTGTAAAATATTTTTTAAAATTGCACAAATTAATAAATTTAATTTAGAAAATTACTAGAATAAAATTGAATTTTGTGAATTGGCCATGTAAAATATGAGAATGTTTTGGCGCGTTGTAAAATCGTTGTAAAATTCAAAGCAAAGTTGGATACTTTGCAAATGTGGCTAAGAACATTTTAGAGTTAATTAAATTTAATTTACTTTTGAAGCGAACAACAACAGTTTCTGGCCCTTAAGCTGGCATCAAATATTTAATTTATGGCACATACTCAGGGTTTTCCCATTTTCCTGCGTACTATTTGCATCAGCAATTCACTGTGAAAATGTCCTCGCCTTTCTACCGGCACCTAAGCCAAACTTACAACTTGTAGACGCTAGAAAAAATGCCCACACTTAATGAAATATGACTTGAACCCAAGCAAACTGACATTGACAACGCTCCCAAACACGCCCACATCAACTCTTGCTGTCTGCCCCTTTATATACCCTAGCTGAGGGTAGATCAACTTATTCTATATCTCATAATGTATGTAAGTTCTTGATATGGGCCTGGCTATTGCTCAAACTGTTTATCTCCATGAAACTAGGCGTGAAACTAGGCAAATTTCTATTGAACGATGAGTTTCTATGTAAAACATACGCTTCTTTTACAGGGCATTTACACCTCTACACCATGTCCTGCCATTTGCTCGCTCACAAATAATTTAAGGCAGCAATAACATAGTCTGTAGACAGGAATTCATACGTAATGCTCTCGCCCAGTTCAGGGCTGCTATTCTAAACACAAAAAACTAGCTGACAACCGAAACGTTTCTTGAAACAAACGCACCAAAATGGCAGCAGACCCAAAAATGCCGGGCCATGTCACTTGTGTCGACCCCAAGCCCAGGCCCAGGCCCAGTCACAGAACTGTGTGAAATCATGCGGAACTATGACAGCAGCTAGCCAAGCCAAGCTACCTGTATCCCCCACTCCCCCTCTACCCCTTCCACAAAACCCGTGCCACCTAACATCCAAATGGCGCGATATGTTGAAGCTGCCTGCTGTGGTTGCGGCCATAAAACAGCCAGAGAGAGAGAGAGGGAGAGAGAGAGAGGGAGAGAGAGGGTAAAAGGCATAAAAAGTGACTGCCTATCAAAATATATATAGCTGGGCGTAGCCTAGGCGAAGGCAAAAGAGCAAAAGGAAACGCAGGTGCCAAAAAGTGTGCAACACACACGGGAAATGAAAAATCACACACTAAACGCTAAAAGATTGCCAAACGATCCAACTGCACAAAGTTTCGAAGCACCGGGAAAGCAAGTAATCGCCGGCCAAGAGCTCTAAAGAGTTTTAGAGAATCAAGCCAAAACAAAATAAAATAAAATTCGAGCAATCAAATGCTTGAAGTAGAATCATGAGTCAAACGAAATTAATAATTTAATAGAAAATTGAACAAAAGTTAGTATAATATTATGTATGAAATAAATGAAATATATATAAGTAGAGAGAGATCTTCTGAAGCCATTAAATCGGGCTGTTTTCTTCCAGCTTAATATCGCGACAGCCAGGATTTAAAACTATCCCGATATCCCGATAACATATATCTAACGAAGGTCTATCGATAAACAAGCGATATCGATATTTTATCGATATATGTTCGGTTTGTCTTTACTTTGTGTTGTGAATCACATCAATTAAATAAACATTACACTATTATAAATCTTACATACATGCGTGTAGGGATCGTTCTTCAAGAGCTTTAAAATCACGCTGTCTTCTTCTCGTTTAATATCTGGTTACATTTGATTTTAATTCACTTGATAAATTTGATAACTAATTGGTTCTAATCTACCCAAGACATCAAGCCGATCTCAGATTCTCCTAGATCCTACTCGAGTCTTAACAATATTCTGTTAATATCTGAAAACAGCTTCCTTCAACTATGAATAGCCCGAACCAGCGAGATCGACGCAGGTCTCTTCACTTTGAAAGCTTTAACATGTAACATGTTTCTGTTATCATACCTTCTGTTACATAACAGACGCTTAATATTTTATCGGCTGCTACAGGCTCTCGTCGATAACTCGATAACTATTGACTGGCGTTGATACTTATCAAGAATATATATACTTTATGAGGAGATGTTTACTTCTATGCGTTACACATCTCACGACAAAATTAGAATACCCTCTGCAAGGGTATCAAACGACAAAGATAATAATTAATAGATTCTATACGCATTAGCGATAAGTTCGAGTAAAGAACAAATAACCATATTAAGTATCCAACGCATTGCCTAATCACACGTAACCTTGAGAAAAAATATCGAAAAGCGTTGCCCACAAATGCGCAATTGAAGTGAAAACTAAGTGCTGAAAGGAAACTTTTATGCGGAATGCTTTTGCGACTAATTGAAAAATTGCGGGGCCATCAATTGAAATTGGCCCGAGGCGCACTCTAATTGAATGGCGGGATCAAAATCGATGCCAAACGAGCAGAGTAACCGAAGCGTAACCGAAACCAAAACTTACCACAATACCATTAATAGTCCATGTCAAATTAGCAGCCGGTTTCGAGTATTTAATTGAGCAATTGCCGTCGACCAAATCGCCAATGCGATAACGTGCCTGTATCCCGGTAACCACTGTGTGCTCTTCCGGTAACTCTGCGAGAGACAGAGAGAGAGAGAGAGGGAGAGTGTGTGAGAGAGAGGCACACGGTGTGTGCATAATGGAAATGTAAAATTAGTTGAAAAAAAAAGAAAATTGGCAAAGGCTGGCGCCCATTTGTCTAATTAATTTGCTTTCGGAAAAGCGGCTCGCCTTTACCAAATTTTTTATTTGCCACCATTTCTCGTTTTGCCAACTGCTGACAGTATTTTTATAGCATGGGGTTAATTCTCATCTTCTACTCCATCTTCTGCTGCTGCTTCTTCTCGCTTTACTTACCCACCACCTCCATTTCGCCGGAGACCATCGCCGTTTGGAATGTGGGCGCCTCCACGGATATTTCGCATGTAAATTTGCCCGAAATATTCAGCGGCACCGACTGCAGCACGACATGACTTTGATTCGACAGGTTACGCTAAAAGTGTTCCAAGAGAGAGGGAGAGAGAGAGAGAGAGCGAGAGTACAATAAAAATTAGTTGAAAAAATTGACAGGATGCGCTGCATAGAAATTGAATATAACGCAATGGCAAAGTTGAGCAAAAACAAAAAAAAACAAGAAAAAAATATATTGGGTCCTTCCGCTTTTGGTTTGCGGACGCTTGCCAACAGATGTTGATGAAAGGTGCTCGCCGAATGGAGCTTTGGAGCTATGGAATTATGGAGCTTGCATTTTAAGTCGACCCCTGTCCACCCCCACCCCTACCCCCCTTTTGATTGCTTTGAGTCAAAGCAATTTTGCCTTTGGGCTATGCGATGATTTGCGATATTAAAAATATAAAAAAAAGAAATGTGCTATGAGCTGCACGAAGTGAAGTGCTTGGCAGATATTTTATTTATGAGTTGAGCAACTCTTACAATGACTTTGAAAAGTTGATATCGAAAATTGCAGCCAACAAAACAGCTATTTGATCTATGCAAAAACAAATTAAGTTCAGGTTTAATACAAAATATCATTCCGTAAGTTCTTATAACGTTTTTTATAATATATATTTTGAATGAAAACAGCTGCAGAATTGGCGACTTTAGTGTATTAAATTAGGATAAGTTGAAGTTAAAAACATTTCACAACAGTTAAAACAAATATATTATATAAATAAATAAAAATATATATAAATATAATAATATATAAAAATAATAAGATATATATAAAATATTTATACAATTTTATGTTAAGTTAATAAAATGTAAATATATTACAAACTGAGAAACTGAGAAAGTTAATAATAAATAATTAATTAAATTAACTTTAAAATCCAATCTATTAAATATGTAAAGCTTATTTGCTAAATAACCTTGCGAATCGAAGCTTATCTTAAACCGTAAATTAAAACACAGTGAAAATAGTTAAGGCCTAGTATGGTTGAGATATTTTGAAAAACAAATAGTTTTTCATACAAGAAGCTAATTTCCGATCGATCGTTCCCATGACAGGCGTATTATATAGTAGAGTGGGGATTTCTAGTTTAATTTGCTGAATAAGTTCACTCGTTCATTTTCTGGCCGTGAACTTCAGTCGTTCATGAACGATGAATTCTGCTCAGCTATTCAGTCGGTCATGTACTATTCGCTTAGTTATGCAGTCAAATCAAAAGTGAAATTTAAATCCCACTATCTTTTATGTTTATCAAGAACTGAACATCTCAACAGAATGTATCGTTCAGGAACGGCTGAGCTGCTGAGTTGCATTCAACGTTCATGACCGACTGAATAGCTGAACGAGTGAACGAAATGACCGATTTAGTTCACTAATCACTGAATAAGTTCAGTAGTTCATTTTAATGACCCGTTCAATCGAACTTGGTCTGAACTAAACGACACAACTCTATTATATAGTACTCCGATCCTGCCAGTTCCGACTTATGTACTGTGTGCAACAGAGAGAGGGACTTAGTTTCGTAAAGATAGCTTTAAAACTGGGAGACTAGTTCGCATAGAAACAGGCAGACGGACAGACGGGCAAGGCTATATCGACTCAGCTATTGATACTGATCAAGAATATATATACTTTATGGGGTCGGACATGACTTCTTATAAATAATGATACCCTTTGCAAGGGTATAAAAAGTATTTGAAAATTAACAAACAAATTATCAAGGCATTTAAATCTGCTCGACTATATATATATATATATATATATATATATATATATATATATATATATATATATATATATAAATATATTTTAAAAGCTTATTTTTAAAATATTAATTAAATTAAAAAAACATCCAAACAAAATTGCATTTTCATGTTGTCATGCATAAAAAACCCCGGACCTCGAGCCAGCCAAACAAACAATTAAAAAAAAAAAAAAACTAATGATTGATATTCATTTAGTGGTTCAAACTAAAGGCTCGCCTTAAATTTTAATTACTTGTATTCAGCTCAATTTACAGCATTAAAAAAAAAGATTAGCTGTTCATTTAATTGGGGCGTCGAATGTTTTGCTTTGTGGTCGAGTATTCACTTGTGCACTCATGAGGCACTCGAAGTGAAAGAAATGGTTAACGCGATATTTAATCTTTGACACGGTGAGTGCTGGTGCTCAAGCGGAAATCCACTTAATAGGAATTAAATTGAGTAAATTGCATTTAAAGATGGGCCTTAATATGCAAAAATATGGCTCTTGCTAGACTCGATCGGCGACACGGTTGGGTGTGAAGTGAATTGAAGTGGATTCGGTTTTACGCCGGACATTTAACCCAATTTGCCCGGTCACCTAATTGGCTTGCATGCATTTCAACGTAATAATTAATGTTGAAAACTTCGCTGTTCGACTTTTATGGTAGTATTTTTTCATGCAATCTACATATATTGTTTTTTAATGAGCCGCAAGTCAATCGCGTTGCCAACTAATTGGGCAATGGAACTCACTGGATACTGTTCTGTCTGCTGATGTTCGTGTTGTTGTTGTTGCGCATAATTACAACATTCAGAGTTTCAGAGATTGTTGTTGGGTAAAACGAATGAGATTTTTGCCTGTGACTGGCTTAATGCAATCAGCCATTATGGGCATAATTTACAGTGCGTTTGTTATTTTATGACACGCAACTGCAGCATGTGCTCTTAATGTGAGCCAAAATCTCAGCAAACCAGGAGCCATATATACACATATATCTATATATTTATATAATATCTTTGTATATTCCTCTTCTGTATACTCACCTCGACATTAAGGCCACTTGTCATGGCAAACACTTTCATTGCGGGATTCTCTTTTGGCGTATAGCGATAAAACTCACGTTTGCCTTTATACCATTTCACCGAATATAGCGTATCGTTTTCCATATCATAATTACAGGTGAACAAGGCATTGCTGCCGCGTTTAACAGCCTGTGGTATCCTAACCGAAACATCCTTGAGCGCCACAATAAAATCTGCAAAGCATAACAAACAGAAAGGGAGAGAGAGAGAGAGAGATAAAGAGAAATGAGTATGAGTATAGAAATATAGTTTTATGTGTTTCACTAAATGAAATTATGCACAGCCGACGAGCTGTGACAACGAGCCTTACGTGAGAAAACTTTAAGATGAGGGAGAGAATATTTACTATAATTTGTTAATACGCGGGCTTTTTAATGTTATTACATGGGCTCAAGCTGACTTTGTAAGCTCAACCAAGTTAAGGTTTGGTTCATTCATTTTATAAAAATAACATACATTTTATTCTAGATATATAATAGGATATCAAAACAATATACGCTTTCATATAATGTACATTTTATATCCGTGGAGAATAGCATATTTATTGACAATTTAAATAAGATCGAGGCAGAATGTAACAAATAAAGGGAGAGGAGGGAGGGGCAGATTTTCTATGTGAGAGAGATACAGAGTTATTTAGAGTATACGCGAGAGAGTGAGATATCAATATTTGCAATGTCTGTCAATGAGCTTATGAGAATCGCATTGAAGGGCAACACGCGCTTAAGACGCCAAGTGGCCTGTTTAGAGGGCTTAATATACCACAGCGTGTTTAAAGAGCAAATCAGCTATATATTTAAAGAGGTAGGCTTTAAGAATATACAACAATTAAGCTCTATCAAGGTCTATTTGTGATCATGAGAATTGCATGGAGGGGCAATCCGTATTTAAAACGCCAAAGTTCTGTTTAAAGGGGAAATGAACTAAACATATTAATAGTGGTAGGATTTTAGGCAATACACCACTTCAAACAAACGTTTAAAAGCTCTACTTGAGCTTATGCGAATCGTATAGAAGGGCAATCCGCGCTTAAAACGCCAAAGCCCTGTTTAGAGGGTTTAATATGCCACAGCGTGTTTATAGGGCAAATCAGCTAAACATGTTAAACATCATTTGAGCTCATGAGAATTTGAGATCATGAGAATTGCATAGAAGGGCAATCCGTATGTAATACGTCAAGAATCAATTTCAAGAGCAACTGAGCTAAACATATGAAAATGTCCAGCATTTTAAGTAACACGTCAATTAAAATTGACAGCTCAGTAAAAATTTGTGTAGCACTTAACGTTATGAAAATCGCATAGAAAGGCAGCGATATATTTTAAGCATTACATTTTGATAAGTGCTTGCTGTGAGCATTTTTTGTTGTTTACACTTTTGGCCAAGACATAAATGCCATAGAGAAGTTAGAGCTTATTCATATGGCAAAAATGTAAAGCTCTAAAAACTGCAATAAGGAGGAAGCGCACAACAGCAGCAGGGCAGACAGACAGACAGACGGACAGACAGTTAGATAGATAGACAGACAGAATGAAAAACGGAAAACCAAACTTACAATAGAATTTTACAGCATGCGAGTATGATAAAGCTGGGTTCAGCTACTGCACGGACGGGCTCTCCACTCTCTCTATACACTTGGCAACCAGCTAAATGGAGAACCATTAAAAGTGGACATTTGTAAACATAAACTGACAGATAAACCCCCAACGCCCCAGACATGGCGAAACTTTAGCTGCTGTTGGGCTGAGTGTGGGATACGACAATGAGTCCTGCCCTTGCAATTTTCATTGGTTTATATTACCTGTAAGCACCGCATGCTGCTCAGCTAGAGAAAGCCGTTAAAATACTTAACAAACGTAGATTGTAAAAGTTTTTAACAACAATATATAAAATGCCAGGGAAAAAGTTGTTGTTGTATACAGGGCTGCAACCACAACGACAAATGCAACCAACCTCTGCTGAAGAACAATTTAACTTGCAGGCCCTTGTCCGATAGCAACAACAATGCAAAGGGGGAGGGGGGCGGGTCGGTCTAGGGAGGGGGTATACAGTAGAATACGGCGATACGATATGTGCAGCTAGAGCAAAAACAAAGCGCACGCTCGTTATATGGGTCAATATAAAACAAAAAGCATTGTGAAAATGTATGAAAAAAAAAATGGGAAAAGAAAACAAATGAAAGTGCTCGAGCTGAGCATGCCCAAATATGTGATACCCTGTACTCCGTTCAGAAAGCGAAAGTTCGTCATTAGCCGATGCCAGAGGCTTCTTCTTTCGCTTAGCCCCAGCCAATGGTAAATTTCTTCCTTAATATATCTTAAACTTTTCACAAGTGTCTGATCCCTACAAAAATTTCTATTTAGTAAGATTGCAATTATTTCAGATATATATATAGATATATAAAAACTAATTTCGACATACTTTTCAAAATGTTTTTAGGTTTTAAGTCTCTGAGATATCGACTTGGCAGTTGAATCTGATCAATAATTCATATAGCCTTTCTTTATTATACTCCTTTTGTCCATTTTCAAAAACATACAGGGTACAAAAAGAAACATCGAAGCTAAGCGGAAAAGGGCACACCTATTGGTCGTATATGGTGATATTTAGTGCTACATTTGTTGTCACATGAAACGCACTACAGAAAGCAGAAAAACACGTACTGGGGGGTCAGGTCAAAAACTTGCAACTTGCTTATCAAAAGCTGTTCCAGAATGGGACAGAAGACAGCGGGTTCGATTGGACCACACAGACAGGTGCGGGGGCCGTGTCTTCTGTTTCTATTTCGATTGTTCAGGCTTGTAATTTGCGCATATGCCGTGCCCAATATAGAGTTTGGTTTTTGGTTTGTATTTTGTTTGTTATTTTTATTTCTTGTGAGTCTAGGGGAAGGTCAAAGTTGTTAGTATTTGAGCTTTTCAATGTTTGCTGCACTAATTGAAATTGCACTGCGTTGAGAATTGTCGAAAATCGAAAAGTTGAAACTATTTTGGAAAATGACAAAAGCTGCCTTAAATAAATGCATGGCCGCTATATGCGATTCTCATGAGCTTAATACCTTAACGCCTTTCTAGGCGATTCTCAATAACTGTTAAAAGGCATTCACGCCTCCTCTTGGTTATATAAAATTATAAAAAATTATGAATGGTATTCATAATGTGAATGCTTATTGTTTATTAATATCGCCTTAGAAAATAGCAAGTTTTTTTTCTCCATTTTCGTTCACATAAGAATGTTGAGTCCAGTTTTCTCATGTAACATGACTTTACTCCTTTTTAATTTTTGTAATTAATTTTGTTTATGAGCAATAAACTTTTTGCGTTTCTATTTTGCCATTTCTTAGTTTTTCTGTTATTTTCACTTTTTGATTTAGCTTTAAAATAAAAAGTTTTTCCAGTATTCGCAGCAAGTAAAAGTGCAAAACTTTTCACATATTTTACAGTGCTTTCATACACATAAATACTGTGATTAGTTTTTATTTGCTTTTGCTTGTGCTACAAATTTGTTAACTGTTCACAAATTTTTTGGCTACATGTTGTTGGCTGGTTTTTTTTCCAAGGTGAGTTTTTGAAAACCTTTTTCTCAAATTATTTGTGTGTCAGATTTATGGTGTTTTGTTGTATTTATCATGATAACAGATTAGTCGCTTTGTTGTTGTGTCCTCAGTCATTGACTTAAATAAGTCAGTTCATTTTGAAAACTTTGTAGACGAAATGCATTTGGCTTTGACATTAAAAGCTGATCAAAAGTTAAGCAGCCAATCGAAAACTGCGGGACATACACCTCGAAAGTGTTGTTCAAAACTCTGACAAAGCAAACAAACGATTTGATACCCGCCGGCTGTTGATGAGGGGTGCGCGGAGCAGAGCACAGGCGAATGCGAAGGGTAGTTGTGGTAGCTGTGGTCTGGCAAAGTGCTGCCAAAAACGTGGGTGCCGCCACTGAGTTGCCTTGTAAGTGTTGCCACAGAAGTGACACAGCAAACGACCTCCAGACACACACACACACACACAGAGCCAGTCGGATGGGAACCAGTTCCAGAAGCACTTCAGAGCGAGACGCGAGCGTTGCGACCGCCGCGAGGACCGCAACAACCTGACCAGAAAAAGTGCTCAACAGCTGATGACTGAGGACGATGTCGACTGTCAACACCGCAGCCAACACCAGCTCGACTAGCTGCCGGTGCCCCGCCAGAACTCCCGACTGTCTTGCAGCCATTTCAACTTTGGAATTTCAATAAGGCCCTGGACGTAGCAGAGTGAAAATGCCGCAGGTGGTGACGCTGGGCATGAAAGGGACGCAGCGGGCAACGTCAACGGCAAGGAAAGCAAATAAGCCAAAAAGTAAATACATAAATTAAAAGTGTTAAGGCGGGAAATGTTCAATGCGTGAATTAAATGAAATTGTGTGCTTAACAACTGAATATTTGAGTTAAATATCGTCATGGAGCTGCAGCTTCCTTCCAATGACACAATTGAAAATCAACAATTTTGCATGTTAATGTTGATACAACATTTGTTATTTAATATTTCGCAAATTTAATGGCATTTAAATATATTTGAATAAACATTCCGATTTTAAGCTTAACATTTTAGTATTTTTTGTCCCATTTCTGAAATCCATTTTCCAGTTATCTGGGGCAATACTTAAGACATATTTTAAGAACTAAACTTTTTCATTTTGCTCAAACAAAATATGAAGAAATTATGACATAAACTATTTTGTTTATATGTACATTATATTTTCAAATAGGCAATTCATCTACTTTCAAGTTTATTTTTTTCTATGCGTGCATCATAAAATGCTTAATGACTTGAAACTGGGGCATATTTTGTCAAGTTTTGTACGAAATTTCGTTACAGATTTGATTTAGTTCTGTTCGTTTTTTTTTCTTCTCCTAGTTTTCCCAGCCCAAAGCGAACGCTAGCTTCATTGCAAACGTAACTAACTCGGTTCGTATGACTTTTTTAACCTATAGCATTGCATACAAATGTTTCTTTTCTATTTTCCAAACTATTTTTTATCATCAGCTGTCAATAGTTCATGCAGCTGGTAAGTGGAAAAAAAATGGCCAAAGAAAAACATTGAAAATCATTACATAAAAAGTGTTTTATGTTTTGATATTGCAACTTTGACCAGGCGGCGTATGAGCAGCATACACACAGTCACAACACACACTCACACACACACACTCTGACGTGTTGTTGTGTAGGGCTCGCTCTTCTGTTGGAAGTAGTCCAAACTTTCAAATAGCAACAACAACAACAACGCGCTGTATAAATACGTTTTGTTGCTGAAATTTGGTGTTGTGGCTGCAGTTTCTTTTTTTTTCTTCTTTTTATACCCTGAACCCATTGAAAATGGGTAAAAGGGGTATATTGTTTTTGTGCAAATGTATGTAACAAGCTACGAACCCATAAAGCAGTATATTCTTGATCAGCATCAATAGCCGAGTCAATTTAGCCATAGCTCGACTTGGAGTTGCGTTATACAGCCGGGTGCCGTGATCCATAGATCGGTCCTGGTACTTTGGTACCTGCAGAAGTGATGTACCTAGGCGCCACTGATTGACGCTTTAAGTAATCCTATAATAGGAACCGTGAGATCAAGCAATCGGGGCAGGTGCTCACGTTTAGCCCATTGACTGTAATGTTCGTCTGTTCGTATTTATGAATGCGTCGATATCAAATTCTATAAGAACTAGATAAATCTGAAATGGAGGTCCGCAATACGAGTTTGTTTTCGGTTATCGATAACTTGTTCCGTTTCCAAACAATCGATTGAAATCGATATCGAAAGTCTGTCTCTTAAGTTATAAGAGCTAAAGTCTGCAAACGTGACATCTGGCTTCTTGAATAGTTTATATATATCAACTGTCTTTCATTTTATACCAAAATGGAACTATCCAACAATATAGGCCTTTTTGAGAGTATGCGAATAAATTATTGCACGATAAGATCTTCTGCTGAAAATTTCTATCAATATCGATTAAGAAACATAAAATGGAATAAAGAAAAGTCAGGATATTCCCTAGTCGCGTACTGCCGAGTGAAACATTCTAACTTGCTTATTTTGTATTTCGCCATAAAACTCCGAAAATAGAGTAAAAGGAAAAATATAGCAAATCGAAATAAACGCATTTTTATATATGTATATATATCTGTATTTATGAACCCCATAAATATGTCAAATAAATAACAAAACAGTCAAAATATTGTGGCATCTGTGTGTTACACTCGCTGTGTGTGAAGTCATTTATGACGATAAGGCTAGATATATATATATCTGTTGTTATTGTTTGTGTTGCAAGTACACACTGTATCACTGTCGTGTGTCTACTAAATTTGTATGCAGGCTTGCCAGAAAATGTTCGGTTGAATTGATTGTTATTGCAACGATTTCAAACTAGTCAGTTTTTAACTTGTTTTTAAATGCCAATCAACTTTATGTTCTATGTATTTATAAACTTTAGAGCTTTGAAGAGGTTGATGAGCTGCGGCTAAGAATACTATTGCATTTATTTAAAGTTAAGCCTGAAATCTAGAGTTTTAGGTGCGTTAACAAACTTCTCAGCAAAAGTTAAGCCTGAAAGAGCCGCGTTAACCTTATCGAGTTGCATATTAATCTGCTTTCTAGACTTGTATTTATCAGGCATTAATATTTATTTAGATTCCACACAAATATTCATTGGTTTGGTAGCTGGGATCATACGCGAGCGCTACCCGCAGACAATTTCATTAGAGCATAAAGTAAAAAATAAAGAGCACACACAGAGAGATGCACACACACACACACAGCACGCACACAGGCACAATAATGAGCATTGTGCGGCAACAGTGGGTTAAGGATTCGCTGCAGGCGGCAAATAGGGAGGCGTGGTCAGCTAGGTAAGTAACCAAAAATGTCCAAAAACTAAAAACAAACACAAAAACGCACGCAGTTTTCAGTTGGCGCATTCACAAAATGTTTGTCACTGCAATGGAAATGCAATTCACAAAAACACACATACACACGCACACACACACACACATATACGGGCAGCAAATGTCCTTTTGTGGATTGTTTTGGGCTAGAGCGAGAAGACTGGAGTTTTTGTTTGGGTCGCTCTGCGCTTGACTATTAAATAAACATGCAAATTATTGCGCAATTTTTGATTACGATTTTTCAACAGGCAGCAACGACAACAACAACAACAACAACAACAACAACAACAACAACATACTGCCTGCATATTTGTATATGTAAATCGCAGCCTGAAGCCCTCACATACCGCCAACCATTCACTGCATGCATTTAACACTCAACGCCTATTTTGCATACAAATTTTATTATTATTGTACATATTTGTATTGAATCGCTGGCAATGCCGCGACAATGCACCAACAATAACAACAACAACAACAATTATGTACATACAGCGACATATTTTTTGTTGTTGTCTTTTCGGTTGTCATTTTATGTTCTTCATTTTTTGGTATTATGCAAAATGAAAATCTACATTTTTTGCCTGACACTTGTTTGTTGTCATGTTTTCTACGTTTCGACAATTACGATAAACGGAGTGTCAGTCCCTGTTGGTTAATCGGGAGTTCTTAGAAGGCTTCGAATATTATTTATAATATATTTATAACTGCCAAAATACAATTTTTTGTTAACAATATATTAAAATGATAATTATATAATTTATGATATACCTAATTATTATGTCTTGTGTATAACTTTTATTTTTTAATTTTCATCATACAGTTTTATATCGGAGACTCTTAGAAGGCTTTGAATATTCATAAATTAAAATATATAAATAATATGTCTTATGCATCATATATGTTATTTTTAGTTTGTCTGTTTTATTTTCGCAATTCTTAGAAAGATTTAGATATTATTGATCTGACTTAATTTATTTATTTAATCAATTTTGTGTTAAATATATAATTATTAATTATTTATTATTTAATTTTTAATTTTTAAAGCTTTTGATATTAATTAACTTTCTTAATTTTATATTTTATTAACAAAATTTTATCAAATATTTATTTAAATATTTTTATGAAGAATGTATTAAATATTGTATACTTAATTATAATGTTTTATGTATATTTTTATACAGTTTTATAACGGAAATTTAAAGAGTTTTGAATATAACTTTTATTATTGACGTAATTTATTATTTGGTTAGCAAATTTATGAGAGTAAAATATGAAATGTCATATATTAATTCTAAATCCTGAATTCTTAATTCTAAATTCAATTATTTAATTAAATAAAATAAGTTATATACAAAGTTTAAAATGTAAAATTATTATTATTTTTTATGTATGTCATAAGTATTTATTTTTAGTAAAATAAAAAATTAATTCATGCATATAAAATAAAATAAGCGAAAAATAATTAAAAATAATGAATGAATATAAATAATTATTACTCTACTTATTACCACACGAAATTTCGCCAATAAATTTTATTTATTAATTAAAATAAATTATTTTTTAGACAAGGCTTAAATGTAATAATACAATAGTTGATTCGTGTTACGTTCTTTTTAATGTCAACTTTATGTTGCTGTACAGCTAAATATGTTGATATACATTTTGTTATTCACGCACAGAAACCATTACATCATTGGCTCATCAGAATTTCGGCCCTCCGTAGTGTTGGACTGGCCAAAATGTAACCAACTGCATATAATGCCATGTAACATGCATAAAATCCAATGAAGTTGAAAGCCTCAAAAAAGCATAAGGTAAACAAATGCTAAGCGTGCATATTGAAAGTTTTTGCAATATTTACATGAAAAATACAATTTTAATTTATGCAGCAATCCATTTGCCTCAACCGACGACACTCAAATCGACCCATCAACTGCAGCTACCCAACAATTTGAATGGCATATACACGAGTAGAAGAAGAAAAAAAAAAAAACGAAAATCTAGAGAAATTTTATATGGAATATGTTGCAATGCATTTTGCATGCGAGTTTTCAGCAACTGTTGTCATTCAGGTGCACTCACTGCAAGTCCAGGACGCAGGACACTGCATGTTGCAATTTTTCTCTTCTTTTTTTTTTTTTTTTTTTTGCATTTTACATTTTATTTTGCAACTCCATTTGCCTAGCTGCCGCCCACTTCACCAGGCTGCAACTACCTATGCCCAAAGGTGAAAAATGGAAACACAGAACTGTGTAGCGTATTCTGTGAGTTTACCAAACGGGTCTAAAAAAGAAATGTAGTGAGAACTACGCGGCGCCAGAAGAATTGCTAAAACAAAATGTTAAACTTTTAAGATATGTGAACTTGGAAATACCCTACAGATGTAAGCAGAAATGTGTACTAAGTATATTATAATTATTATATATTTGATTATATTTGATTAGACATAGTCTTATTAGTTGAAATAATTTATTCTAGCTAAATTTAGGTATGATTTATTAGTTTGTTAATTTAACTATTAAAATTTTCATTATTGCTATTAAACTTTCAGATGCATTCTGACTTTAATTAGTTGAAACAAATAAAGTTTTTATTAGAGTATCTTTCTGTATTTTCAGATCTTTTATATACGGATCGGCACAAAGTCTAACACGAACTGATGATGGGTAAGTTCCAAATTACTCTAAAAAAAAAAAGAAGCAGCCACAAATAGCAAAAAGAAAAACACAAACTGAATAACCATCAACAGGGAATGACCCACGCGTTTTTCATTCGCTTGTTCATTGCATATCGATGGAAATGAGTTTTTACCGAAAGTTCTTCAGACTTTGGTGGATGGGTTTTTATTTGGAGGCGGCGGTGGCATGCGCTGATGATGCTGCTGGCGACGCTTTGGCGGCCGCTGACAAACACTCGCACACCCACACACACACACACACACACAAACACACACTCACTCTCATGAATGCCATGCACGCTGAATTACCCTGCCCTGCCACCCACCAACTGCCCTGAGTCAAGTCTGTTCTTTTGTATTCCTCGCTCAATGGAGATAACATGTCAAATGCATGAACAAATAGTCGTTGGCTTTACTTCTTCTTCTTCTTCTACTTCTCATCATCATCGTCGGTTTTTGTTTGATAGATTTTCAATGAATTTTCGCTTATTTTTCAATAATATATATGCAGACATATATATATATGTTTTATATTTGGCTGCCATTAGGAATAGACAGCGTGAAAAAAAGAAAATTACTTTTTTGTTGTTACAGAAATAAATTTCAATTTTCAGTCGAATTTTGAGCTTGATTTCTTTTATTTGTTTTGGTAAATGTACAAATTATCAATAATCTGCCCTGAGACTCAGACTGAAGACGTTTGAATGGAAAATAGAAAAGAGAAAACTTTGCAAAGATCTCAACGAGGCACTCTTAACAAACAAATTAAATGTATATTAACTTAAATGATAAATACCTAAAATATTAAATGGCAATTTTAAGTTATATAAATAACTGGCTAAGAAGATTCTAGAATAATTAGATAAATCTTATGATCTTATAAATGGAGAACCTTATCATCTTAAATAAAAACTTTCAATGCACAATAAATTGAAAACAAAATATAGATGTGGCTTTCATTTTCAGATATAAATATGAAAGATACTCATTGCATATGGTTAATATAAATATGCTATATGAACTATAGAATACTCTATAATCTGGCGTTGTAAGTTGAACAACAAATGTTAGATAAAGTCTCGTAGCTGCCATATCAAAACGAGAATTTAATGTTAATGTCAAAACAATCAACTGGGGCAATCAATATGCGAATGGTCTCAAGGGTTCCCCTGCCCACCCCCGTACGGTGTCCCAATACTGCCCCTTGCCCTGCTCTGCTCGCACATTACAATGCCATTTGAGTGCCATAAACAAAATATAAAATGTTGTGCATATATCTGTCGAGTGTTACGAGTCGTCTCTGCCAAAGTGCAATTCACATTTAGATTAAAGTGCTTGGGCTACCCAAAAAGTGCCAGCACGTCAAGACGCCCAATAGCTAGAAGAAAAAGAGATCTGCAACAACAACAACAACAACGACTGCTGCTCTAAGGTGGAACCTTTCGTGCTATCTCTTTCTCTCTGTGGCCGAAACATTGTTTAGTAATTTATTTTATTTCAGACAGTTTTTCCCATATCTACCAAAACTGATGCCCCATCTTGTGTTCTTCCTCTTTATTCATCTGCTGTTTTATTGTTGTTATTGTTGTTGTATTTATTGTTGCTACTTATGCATCGTCATTGCAGCAGCTACTTGAACTCAAAACTCCAGGCTGAAAAATTGCCGAGCTACGTGCTGCTGTAGCGCAGGACGACGAGAGCATCCTTAACATTTCGTATGCAAAGCAGGAACATTTCTGAGCTGCAGCTGAAGTTTCGGTGGGAGTTGAAAGTTGAAAGATAAATTGATATTTTGAGACTGCAATGGATAGTATTTACTTTATGGCCAATGCGCAAATTGTTAACTGTCCCTGGCCATTGGCATTTAAGCCAAAAAAAAAAAACGGATCAAATAAATAAATAATATTGAAAAAAAGCAAGACAAGTTAAAATTAGCTAACATTGATAACAAAGTTTCAAATTCATTTTAAAATCGATATTTATCGATTTAGAGCGAGAGCGGCAGCTTACATAATTTTTAAATAGATGGTTTTGTATTTCAAGCTATTATGATCTTTCTAATCTTCATGATTGGCGAATAGACGAGCGCGGAAATCGATATTTGACGCCTTAGGGCAAAGGGGATGGGGAGTTTGTAATATCTTAACTTGATGTGTTCAACTTTTAAGAAAGATTCTCTAATCTTTTAAGACTAAAGGCGGGCTCGAACATAATCTTGGAATATGAAGTTAGTGTTTCAAGCTTTTATGATTGCGAATAGACGAACGCAGAAGCGATATTAATCGCTTTAGGCAAACGGGATGACAGTTAAAGTAAATATGGCAGCTTAACTACTTGTAATATCCTATTCTGTAATATCCTATTCTTTAAGAATGTTAAACAAATTGAATATTTTTATGGTATGCCTATAGAAGAAGGCAGTATACAGCTCTGCTCAATAATGTAGATTCTTTAAAATGACGCAAATTTTTTTGCAGCGGGTTTTCTGCCCTTTCAATGTCCACAGTGTATCAAAAGAATACAAAAATTGGCCCATCTGGCAGAACTGCAATCCTTTTATTGTACATTGGCTATCAGAATGCCTTAATTAAGAACGCTCCGACTTTTCCAGACAGTTCAGTAAACTGTGCAGCTGTCTCATTGCCCTGCCCAAAAGCCTTTTCACTCTGTTTACTACCTTGTTTGAGGTACAGTAAAAAAACCTGCCAAAAAAAAAAAAAAAAACAAAGAAAATGCAAACCGACAATTTGCAGTTCACAGTTAACAGCAGGCAACTGAATACGTGGCACGTTATTGCAAAAATACCGAAAATTGGTTTGTTTGATGGAACAATGTCTGCACAAATTCGAAACAGAGTCCTACACTACATACTGTATACGTATATGTTTAATAAAAACAAAAAAGAAGTATATTTAACTGCAACTCTCTGATAGCCCAAAAAGAAATTACAAATTTATACTTCCCTCCATTTTGTGTGTTCTCCTGGTTAATAACTTGTTGGGGCGCCTGCCCGACTGTCAAATGGCATCAGGCCGCAGCGCAGTTAACAACATTCCAATTAACCAGATTCCAATGGCAATTTGATTGCACCCCCAATTGGAATACCAATTGTCAGCTCTATTCTTTGTTTCGTAGTCAAACATGTTTGCAATTACATATATGCTTTATTTTAAACGGGAAAAGGAAGAGCGCGACTTGGTTGGGCTACAGCAAAGTATGAACTGCCAGAAATATAATCAACATTGTATACGTAGAAACATTGCATTTGATTTCAAATTATTTTATTTATAATTTTCTGATAATAATGAATTTAATTCAATAACTAGAAATTTTGTTGAATTAAACTGAGTTTTAAAACCCAAAATAGTTTTGGCAGTTGGAGCTCAAGAAGGCGAATTGGCCCTTTGGTTGGGAACTTATTTTTTTATTTTCAGAAAAAATACCTCAGAAGGCGTTCTATTGGGATTCTAACACAAACAATCTAACTAAAAGAATTATTTTCAGGCTCTAAAGTTGTAAATAATATATGAATTTATTATTCGAAGTTTTAAATAATGTAATATAGACAATTGACCAAAAATAATCGAAAAATTGATGCTTAAAAAAAGGAGAAAGAATAATTAATTTCACTTTAAATATATTTTTTTGCTTTTAAAAGGCATTCCGTAAAAAAAACTCCTTTTAATTCTGACACAGTTTTGTGAGTTGAATGCCTACGATTGCTTATATAATGCATACCTATGGATATACTTAAACCAGCGCCCAATCTGATCTAGTGTTGTCTGGTTTACTTTTGCCTGCTTATCAGATTTAGCCAAATACGCCTAATGCTGTAATAAAGACCAAAAGCTGGCGAATGCCACGAGCCAGAGCCTAAGACGGCGGCAGCACTTGAAGAGCTGCTTATCAAATACAAATTACAAATCCGAGCAAAAGCAAAAAAAAAGAAGAAGAAGAAGCAGCAAACAACAACCCACGGTGGGATAAGACGTTGGCCACAAAACACAAAAGCATGATTGAGGGCCCAAATCTTTTATCAAATGAATGTGCCATAATAAATGGAAAAAAGAGAAAGATATGGGAAAGGGTAGGCAGCGTTGTTGTTGACTTTAAGCTGGCTATAAGCAGCACGCACAACAAGCACACACACGCACACACACAATCCCACACACATTGTGTGTCTTATACACAAATCTTAAGTCGAGTCACTTCAACATAATCACACGACAAGCCGAAAAACAAAGCTAACGAACTAATAGATGGACACATAAGATTGTTAGTCTTCATGTTGTTGTTGTTGTTGCTGCTGCTGTTGGTTGTTGCTATTGATAAGCATCGAATTCATTAATTTATATGTTCCATGGATATCTGGCGGCGAGCAGCCAGCAGCGAGCCAAAAGGAGTTGCTTTTGGCCACGTTTTGTCCAGGATAGCTTTGTAATGTGAAACTAAGTGATTTGCTGTGCGTTTGTGTATGTGTGTGTGTGTTTGTGTGTGTGCGTGTGTATATATCTTCATTACAAATCCTAGCAGGGATTTGAAATGAAATGACCGCGCCCACACACACAGACGCACACACCCAGCCAAACGTCTTGTCTTGGACCTTGTCTTTATGGCCTGACCAATCCAGTTGGCTTTAAGCAGTAAATTCAATCAATTTGTTCAGACAAAGCAGCAGCACAAGAAATGAATTGTCCCGAGCTGTGACTTGTATCTGACAGCGTACAATAAAATCTTCAACTTAAATAGTATGTCACAGCAATTAATACAAAGGGTAGCAAAACCCTGAAGCTATAAAGCCCCAAGCTAAAAACCCCAAAGTTTGTCAAAGCGCAAAATGAAAGTGAAATTTGGGCTCGCCTTCCACAGATTTTGTTGTTCATCTTTTTCTTGTTGTCGTTGTTCATGTTGACAACAAGTCGTATGCGCAATGAAAACCCACTGTGTATGTCCTGTAACCTGAGCCCAGTCAGTGCATTTGACAGCTCTCATTTTGGGCCTTGTAGTCGGCTACAATTTTGGTCAAGCAAAAGTTAAAGCTCAAAGCGACCTGTCAACATTTGCTGTAAGCCAAAGTGGGCTGGAAAATGATATATGGCCAATCGATGATCTTGGTCAAAACAAAGCCAAACATTTACGCAATTAGAAAATATACTACAAGCAACCAATAAATCAACACACACACACAAATTCTACTATTTATATCAGGGCGAAGCAAACGCTATAAATCAAATTGAAGCAAATATGTAATTTAAATGCCAACAAGCACAAGTTGTGGCTCATAATTTGCATGTGTACCGAGCGCAATTGGCCAAGGTATTAAGCAGCAGACATAATCAAGCATATAATATATAAACATTTATATTAAAATATTAAAGGATTTTGGAATGAATTAAAGGATTTTCAGTGTAAGAAAATCATGAATTACAGCTTGGATTTAAAAGCAGGCATTAATCAAATACGCTCTTTTATGATTAAGAAGGATTCTTTTGATACATTACATATTTACTTAAATTATCTCTCAATTAAATTTTTAAATATTTTGAAAATTAACAATCTTAATTCTCGTCAAAATATATTCTCAAATCTTCCCTTAGAACTGAATTCCAGCATATTCTTTTTAAAATCAAACAAAGATGTGATAAAAATTCGTTTCTTAAAACTTAAATATATTTTAACCCTTTTTTATTCCCCGCAATCGGACTTTATGCTAAAATTGTTATTCTCATGAACCCCGATAAATGTAGGATATGTATACAGACATCCAACCCATATAATATTCATGACATTGAATAGGTATATATATTGTCAGAATACTTGAAAACGTCTTTAAATTAATATTATTTTCTCTTCACTTAAGAGCTGCTCTTGAGCTTGAGCACCACTTGACAATTCATTAACAATAAATAAGAAATGAAGCTTAAATTCTAAATGTGATATGTACTTAATAGTATTTGCAAATGATTGTCAGAACTATTAAAGAGAAATTACTTAATGTATGTTTCAAAAGGGAGTGTGGCAACTCGAATATGAAATAATGTCAATTTGCTGGACCAAATCTCTAATCCTCTTATTCATTAACACAATGCTCTATACACGCTTACAAGCATGCTTTCTGTGTGTGTGTGCGTGCGTGCGTGTGTGTAGAAAGAGGAAGCAGCTAATTGACGTTTGGCCAAAATGCAGACCCAAGTGCCTCATTCATAGCAATTAAAAAATGCAGTTATGCATGATTTTGACGCAATGGCTGGGCAAAATCGAAAGGAAACGGCTCAGTGCCTACGGCAAATGGGCTTCACGTGGCGTGTGTCCTGGCAACACTTGTGCCGCCTTTTGTGGCATCTCAGTGGATGTGGGTACAACTGGATTGTGATTGCAGTTTTGCAGTTTGCAGCTTACAGCTTGCTTTTCGGTTGCGAAACAGCCGTAAACCAGAATTGAAACGAAATTTGGCTCAGTAGCCTATCTATGCACCTCAAAGCTGCCTCAAAGACTGCTGCCTCATCAAAATGCAATAAGTGCCCCATCGATTTGGGCTGTGTGGCACAGGCACTGGCAGAAGTGAAGTGAACTGCCGCCGCTACAATGACCATAACAGGTCATATTTGTTATGGCCGAAACATTGCTGGCCTGGGCAGGTGCTGTAAAGTGAGCCTAGTTTGATTGAAAAATATACGATCCTTTTAAGGAAAGATATAGTTCAAGTTTGCTTGACTAGCGCATAGCGAGTATGTAGCAGCTTCCATTAAATGGCATAAATAACGAGAAAATAGGATTTCAGAATTTGGAATTTGTTTAAACTTGATAAAAACATTGACAAATATAAACGTGAAAGAAAGGCTATCTTCGGCACGCCGAAGATCTAATACCCTTGCAGACCCAAC